GTACATTGGCACGAGTGGAAATTACTGCAGACGTCTGATGCAACACAAGAATGACGTCGCCAAGGGCCACACAGTGACAAATGCACTCGCAGAGCATGCCGAGAAGACGGGCCACGAGATAAGCTGGGACAACGCACGCATCATGGCCACGGAGAAGAATTTTACAACCAGACTGAACCTCGAATCACTAATCATTCAGACGACAAGTAACACAATCAATAGATCATCTGGCACACTAAACCACGTGTATTCCCGGACTTTGCGTCATGCGCTCAATGTTACATAAGAACCTGTTGCTCAGCCGTCATCTCATTGTGAACAAGGGATCCGTACGGAACCCGAAACGTCTTTGTTTTTATTTGACATTGGTCAGTGACCTGTTTTTTCAACAATTTTACTGATATAATAGGCTTCCGAAGCTATGAGCGCATGCTCGTTGTTGTTCTTGCCAAGGATCGACGTCCCTTCAAATTGTGCCTTACAATTGAAGCAAGCGTTAATATCTGCCCCAAGATGAGCTCCTTTATCGGAACTTTCGCTAACCTTTTGCCACTGTTCCCTGAGCCGCTCGTTTATGCATCTTCAGTTTTTCGATATAGAACTTATCGACTTATTACATGATAACGGGATGGCATGAACGACGCCGACGGCACACTTGACATAGGTTACACCTTGTCGAATTTCACACCCTCTTCTGCTCACACACTGTAAAAGAATATTACTCAAGGTCGGAGTAAAATGCTTGTCCTCTGGCATCCCCCTACTCGGAGCAATTTTCGCTCCGGACATCCGGAGCAAAACTCTTGCTCCAGTTCGCCGGAGGGATTGCGTGGCGCACCCGGAGTAATTTTAAAAGATATTTCACTCTGGTCGACCAGGGCAATTGCGTGGCACCGCCGAAGTACTTTTTACTGGCATTTTCCTCCGGCTGGCCGGACGGATCACGGGACACCTCGAGAGCATTTTTTGTGAGTTTTTTACTCCGGCTCTCCGGGACTTTAGTGTGGTAGCTCCGGAGTATTTTACGAGTGTACTTACTTCGTCCGGGCAGAATGTCAGTAAGGTGTACCAGTAATTTTTCGAAGTGCCGGCTCCGCTCTTCATTTATTGTATGCTGATCGTATCACGCATTGGTTAGATGAAGGAAGTTCTTATTCTCATGCAAGGAATGCAGAGGTACTGAGTATTTTTTTCCACTGAGCTCTAGCAGAAGAAATTCAAGGAAACTCTTGCGTTTTTATTTGTTAATTTATTCAAAATAAGATACCGATTCCGTATGACTACACAGCAGTCAGGAAAAGGAGACATAAATAAACAAACATGCAAAAAGCCTCCAGAAACAAAACACAATGAGACAGATCACATGAAATCAACAGCACTGACGTTCGAGGCGCAGTGCTTTAAAAATTAACCCCATAATGCTGCAAAAGGATGCACAACAAACAAAGAAAGCGTGGCCACCGAGAACAACTCTTCACCGTCCCCGAAGGACCATCCATCAGATTCATTGATGACGCAAGGGTTGAGCTGATTGCTTCCTGCATAATTTAACAAAAAAGAATTAAACATGAGAACTGCAAATCATGCGAGAGGCTCGGAAACTGAGCCACGGACACTAAAAAGTCTGTGAGTTTATGAGAAGAAGCAACTTCTAAAGCTGACCACACACACACACACATACACACACACACACACACACACACACACACACACACACACACACACACACGCGCACACGCACACGCACACGCACACGCACACACACACGCACACACACACGCACACACACACGCACACACACACACACACAGGATGAGCGTGCATTATCAAGAAGCACATTCGATGTAATCCGGTTTGAGACAGCCGCAACATGATAAAAACACAACTTCTGTGACGGGAGCAAAGTTAAAATTTGGGCAAAGTTTTCTATATATTTTTAAATTGATAGCTGCACATTCGCTAAAACATTTAAAGCAATTTTGGAGTAAAAGAATCTTATTGCAGTACTCTTGCAGAGAGCATCAACAATGCTCCTCCTGGTAATTTCCTAACTTATCAAATAACAATTCTGATTATTACTGTCGCATTTCAGTGCGTGCTCATTGTCACACTTCTAGCATAGTGGGCCCTTGCAGGTTGCTCCCTGTCTTTAAAGAAAGCCTAGCTCCACCTCCTTTGCAAAATAAGTTTTGAGATAAGTTGACATTGTTTTATTTTTTTTTTCGCTCTGCCCGCTCTCTTTCGGTACTTGTCGTTGGGAACATTTTTCCAAGTATTAATTGTATGAGCATGTATTTCTTCAAGATGAACAGCTTAAGGCATAACATAAAAAAGCTCACTGCAACGGAACAAAATAAATAGGCGATAAAAGGCACAAACATTACGCCACCTAAGCCAACTGCATTTTCACAGAAATCAGGGAAGTTCGACCAGTTTACGCAACTGAAAGGTCCGTGTGCACTTTCGGAGGCAAGCGTCATGACGGGCGTGCCAGGCTTGAAGAAATCTTCTTTTCCCTTCGTGTACTCAAAATCCAGTATTGTTGCAATCCCCAAGTGAAAAGTAGGTCTCAGCACCGTTCGCACTCCCGTATTTCACACAAAAAAAAAAAACTGCAGGCGTAGTAATGCAGCACCACTGAAAAGAGAAAAAAAAATGCAGCAGCAAGGATAATAATCTCTTCCATTATCAACACAGAAAATACGGCTAGTTTTTGGAAAGGGTGTCTTCTCCTTTCTCTCTTTCTTTCACTACAATGACCGCACCGTCTTAGAATGTTGAGGTGGGCTGTCATATGGGTTAACTTTGCTACCCCCCCTTTTTTTTTTGCAGAAACGTTGAGTGCTGCGCGAGTCGTTCTGCCAAGCTACTCCTCTTTTTTATTTTTATTTTGCATTCCTCGTCTCTAATATAGTCATCTTGTTTCACCCGTCTCTTTTTTTTTTCCCTGAAAGCACCACGTCCCGCGAAGAGCCCAGTACACTTGGAGAATAATATCTCAAATGGTACTTATCCAACCGAAACAACTTTTTCACTTGTATGAGTTCGTGTATGCGTTCTGAAAGTCTGTACCAATTACAATGCTTTACGTCAGTTCACAACATTTATAAAGAAATAACACTAATTTTAGTTATTCAAGTTTTGTTAGTTCAACTTACATACTCTATCAAAATAAGTTTTACGCAGTGGTAGACCTCGACCTGGCGTTTATTGATATGGAAAGCGAACAGATGTTACCGTTTATGTGTACAAGACCAAAATACCTTTCAACCAGTCAAGTTTACCTATAACATTTATTGTCGTTTGATAGAATCAACCTAATACTATGATATTTTCCATCGTTGCGTATATATTCAGTGCTCCAAATATTACAACGACATGATTTAATTTACTGAAGGTATTATGGGGTTAATGCTGTGCGAAACAGGACGAGTGCAAGAAAGGGAACAACCACAAGAGCTTGTGGTGTTCACTCTTTTTGCGCTACATTTACGCCATAATGAATCATTACCAACTCGCTCACATACCGTTTTGCTTTACCGAAGTTAGAGTAACAAAAAAGAAACACGTAGTCCAAAGAACGCATTATTGGAATTCCGCTAATCTTTCACTGACGTCTTGCGAAATTATCTAAGTATTTATCCCATGCTTTGTTTATCAACCCAACATTATCCAATCGTAGCACTACCTGACAAGAATAACCCATCTAATTCAAGGAGAGTTCACACACCATTTTTTTTGCCGCACCAGCAACCGCTCTCAACGCTCGTGAGATCACAATGTGTCGTTCACTGCCAGGAACCATCACACGATTACCGTTCGCACAACTCCGTTCTGTCGTTGATAACCTTCGTTGCTCTTTGTCGCTTATGATATGCAGAAGGGGCTCAGAACGATTTCCTTTTCTCCGACGTGGCCGAACGGTTCGCACAGTCCTCACTGCACCGGATTTGTCTGCGCCATGTTGGTTTGTGGGGAACCGACTGCAGGCGGTGAGGCTGCCTACGTCACTTCTCGAACAGCCAACGAATGCCATTGAGCGATGACCCGGAGCAATTGGGGAGCATACACCGAGGCAAAATTTATGCGCGGGATCATTTTTGGAGAAACCACGGGAGCATAATCAGTGAATTGGCTCCGTTTTTCTCCGGTTTCTTTCGTCCGTCGATCACCGAAGGAAAACGGTGGAAAACGAATGTATTTGCTGTGGTTTAAGCCGGTTTGAGTAAGGTCACCGGAGCAGAGTGGGTGCATCCTTCCCCGATTCCTCTCAGCTGGGTATATTTTTGATTACCCTGTACCGCAGATGCGGGAGCATAGCTGAGAAAGCTTGTTCGGGGCAGACAGCGCCAAAGTTACACCATGTCTGCCTGCCACTTTCTTGAGCTGATGCGAGATACGATTCGTATATGGGACCACCACAGGACTCTCTTTGTTCTGTACGTCATCCACCCGCTTGATGGATTCCTTTTTCTGGATGAGTGCTTCCGCCACTGCAGTCACGAGTGACCAGTGGAACCCAGCAGCCAAAAGTTGGCTGATCTTATTTTGGAAGCTATCTAGCATTTTGTGAGTACATGATTTTCTAAAAGCCGCTTTCATGGCTGACATCGCAATTCCTCTTTTTGCAAATTTAGAATGTGTCAGTTTAAAAGGTAGCAAGTTTTCTTTGCCCCTGGTAGGTAGGACCAACACACGTGGCGTTCACAAAATTCGAGCCTCAATTCTTTTCTTTGTTTATTTATTATTTAATTAAGAACAATAACAAAATTGTCCAAGGAAGCACGGCAAAAAGCAAACAATGCCTTACTGGGCCCTGCCACCCATACAGCAGTAGCAGCAGAAAGACATTCACAAATATAAAAGGGTACATGGAAATCACCTCCGATGAATGTTACACAGTCATATAGCAAAAAAGAACAAAACAAGTACAATTTCACAAAAAATTCACGCACTATTCTAGAGCAGAAGAAGAACACCGCATCATACTCACCTACACACACAAAAAAAACTAGGAACAACTTGTAGGGCTTGCAATGCACATGTGGAAGAGAAAAAGAAAATCAGCCAAATACATAACATTCATACAGAACCATAGTATTCTTATATTTGCATTAGTCCTCTGAAAATAATAATTCTTTTATTGTTTTTTGATACGCTTGCTTCCTAATTCCGAATTTGACGAGATTTATGGTAAAGGTGTAGTCATTAAAGAGGTTAGGAATTCGAACAGCAAGTTTTTGTTCTCCGTAGTTTGTTCTGCTACGAGGTAAAATTACAGAACTATATCTGAATTTGTAGCCGGTTTGTTGGAATGTTTGTCAGATGTATATTGCCGCATAATTTCAAGAAATAGTTTGTATGTGTAGAGTTTGGGCACCTTTAATACTTCAATATCCAAAACTGTAAACCGCCTTTCAACGAAAGCTCAAATGTAAAAACAACACCATGTATATGTCGGCTAAAATCATCTAAAATCTTAGTCACCGAGTCTTGGTAGGAGGAGTCGGAAGATAATAAAACCAAAAAAAATTATCGACGTGCCTAAAAACCTTTAGAACGCGCTAAAGCATTTGCTCAAGGAAGCTTCCATATTTTCTGAAATGCCTACAAGTAGAGGCTCAAGACAGGACCCGATACATATGCCACTATGCTACAAATATGGCTGCTCCCTAAAAACAATAATAAAACTCTAAAAGGCTCAAGAAATTGCTCAACGAAACACTGAAGAAATTCTAAAAAGGCACAGCCCCAAACTTCTCGATGCACGCTTGCACTGAAGACATAGGCTCATGCTGAGGTACAGAGTAAAACGAAATTTCAACGTCAACCTAGAAAATATTATACTTAATAGTATAAACACTCAAGAACTGCACCACATCATCTGCAGTTTTCGTACGAAAGGAATCATTGTACACTAGTGACTTCAATTTCTTCTGCAAATCCGGCTAACATTGTGTTGCAAGCATCCCGATTCACTGACAATGGTTCTAAAAAGTACTAAGGGTCTTTGCCGTGAGAAACAGTCAACGAGTTGCCTCTATTATTCTCTATGCTTTTGGCAAGCGATGTCAATTCTATATTTTACAAAAATCCACAAACTTTGATTTCGCACGAACCTCCCGCTTTCCAACGGGAACAAAGTTTTGACAAAGCCTGCAGTGCATTCTCGCTGAAAACGCCTTTTTACCCAACAAAAAAAAGTCTCCCTCCTTATGAGCCTGCTTGAGGCAGTGGTCGTTAGCTCTCAAAAATGACAATGTGCGCCTAACACTACGATCTGAATGCTGGGGTGGGCCTTTTGGCACAGACTTGTCTACGCTTGTGACGCCCTCAAGTGGACGTTGATCGCGAGACGCTTGCTTCGCTTTAGAAGCTTTATTTCTACGTCTCCCACCACCAACAGAAATAAACTAATACCATCCCAGCATTGAACAACGACGGAAAGGCAGCAATGTGGGCCTGGCAGCTGCAACAGGAAGTATAGTTACTTGGCCGCTTTGTAAAAATACTGTGTGCTTTACTAACCTGCATTGGGAACATGAGTGATTTAGCACGCTGTGTTGACGCACAGCAAGGGCACACCAAGTGCCTCCAGCAGCGCCTGCTCTTTCAGCTTGATGAGTTGATGTCATTGGCGGTTCGTATTCTATTTCTGCATCGAGGGATGCTGCCAGGGTTGGTTGGATGAAGATCTGGTAAGCAGCCGGACACAGCAACACTGCAGGTGGTCTACTGAGACCAATGCACGAATCGATCCGTTGACGGACAGTAGCGTCATCGTCGCTGACGTGCCAAGAACAATGAGCACGTTTGATAAGATGGGGCGAGCTGCAACGGAATCATACAATTATACAAGCACATGTTACGCACCGATCAGCACACCATATTTCTTCATAAGAATTTCGCTTCATAAAAACAACTAAAATTTGCTCATTCGCATAGCCATGTGAATATTTTTATCTCGCGTTCATTTTTTTTGTTCCTTCGGGTACTTATGGGAAAAAACGTCCGGAAATGAAATAGTTGTCTGTCTTCGCTTTCCTTCTGAAGTCTATTTAATCCGTCTCTGTATGTTAAATATATGTGAATAACCAACACTTGCATTTGCGTCATTTGTACTCGCTCAATTTGCCCCTAGAAGCTTCCTGCGGTATTAACCATTACCAACTATCTAAACCACGATACTGCCAGCACAACAACCGAGGCAAAAGAAACGCTCAATATATTTATATGTGCTATTGGTCTGCTTTAACCTTCGCTTTAAAGATTGTCAGACTTTGTACCTATTGTAAAAACCTGCAAACAGCGGGCATACCGCGTGTGAGATTGTCGCACTAGGTTGTAAGAAGAGAAATACATATATAGCGAATATAAAAGTTACGCATGCACGCTTGCTTCCACTTTTTCGGTAGCCATATTAGTTCTAATCTCTCCAAGTAACCTGAGAGAAGGCCGTACGGTTTGCAAAGATCACAAATGCAGTTAGTACACGCAGTTTGGCTAATTGTGCTTGGGCGATCTCTTTCTTCCCTGCAGGCCATCGTCTTTTTGGCATCTCTACAAAGGTTCTTCTGCGCGCAGTACTCGTCGTCGTACATGTTCCTTATTGTGGCCATGGTTTTCACGGCATCGGTCACAGATTTCTGCAAGTTTGAAACAAGTCTCGCAACCTTAGAGGTAAGTGATCGAATCAGCAAGGCAACGGAATGCGTTCAAAGGCAGCTTTTATTGAATGTTTAGTCTCCGCGTCTTCAACTCTGCACCGCATTGCACAAGCACAGCCAATGGTGGAGGCTTATGTCTTTCGTTACAATGGGTATTTCTCCACGTGCAAGTGTGCTAACTGACACAGCCACCATCAGATGCGACAAAACAAAGTGAAACTGGAAGTCTGAAATTAGAGTGGTGACTACCAGCAGTTTTATTTTGATGAGTGCCAATAGATTTACAGAGTTTAAGCTTCATGGCACGTGAGTAGTTCCCACCTGTGTTGCTCCGCCGCATGTGTAGTACCAGAGGCAGCTCGCAAGCCTTGCGGACGCGAATGAATTATTTGTCGGCGCGTTGCGTGTTCCAGTTACGTGGCAGTTTGAGGTGGTGCTTTGCTGAGATTATGGGATTATTTATAGAGCACAGATCGGATCGGGAGGTTTCAATGTGGTCGGAGACCAAACGAACGCTCCGAGCGGAGGTCTGCGTTAAAGGTTTTTGAGAAACGACGATCCGTATATGCTCCGTTACGTTGAATAGCGCAACGCAATCGAAGACAATGTAGACTATCCAATGGGATGGTTCTGTGTGAACGTGTGCCTCGCGGTAGCCCTAGGAGAAGTGTTCATTCTGCAGACCCGCACTTCACGCGATCGAACAGACATCAGCAGATATGGCTCTCAATTTTGTGTCACCAGGTCCTCCAAGTAGTCCAGTTACTTTCCTGATTACTTCTGATCTGTCTCGGTCCTAAAGACGTCGTCAATGGCTGGTCAAATGAGCATTGGGGTCAAGGTACAAGCTGTGAGAGATTTTTATTGCTTGTATATGCTGGGATCATAAAACAATCTGTGTGGCTTGTCTTGAATAAATATACGCTTGTCAGGCATGAATGTAATATTTTTTGTAAGTCTCTTTGTCTTCCGCCAAAGAGGAAGACGAATCACAGGAAAGGAAGTGTAGTATGTACGCCAGACCTCAAATTCAGACATCTCGCGCTGCATCTGCGTGCGTAAGAAAATAAAGATGAAGAACGCAGGAACATCTGCACTTGCGAAGCATCCTCATACGCAAGACTAAAATCCTCTTAATAAGCGTGACAGTCATGCGCGAAAAGGCGTTGGTCATCTTCTTTCCTGAAGAATCAATTTTTTAGGCGTGCAACACTATATAGGTCCATCCACCACATGGGGTCTTATCACGCTCAAAATCACGGGGCCTATAGCATAAAACAAAGCTAGCAAGTCTCAAAACCATGGCATTGTAAGCGAACAAGGTCAAGGTATTGTAGCAGAAATAATGAAGCAGCAATCGCAATTTACAATCTAAATAGCTGAAAACGCTTCGGAAACATGCAGATTACAGTTGCGCCACGCAAGAGAAAGCGCCACCGCATCGTCAAGATCACGACGTCCCCTCCAACCGGTTCTGCTCTAGCGTCTTCGTCGCTACATTTGTAGCAGCAAGCCTTACAGAGATCTCAGGAGACGACACATATTTCCGCTTCCGGGAAGAAAGTCGACAAAGCGGCACAAGGAATATCGCGCATGCTATACACAGACCTTGCGAATCTTTCTAACACAAGTAAATTCTTGCCAGGGAAACCCGCCATGCTTACGTCAAACACTGACCACATCGACAATTTTGGGAAATGGAGCAATTTCACTCTACGAACAGGAATAACTTAGTGATCGTGCTTCCTCGTGTTTCAGAGTAGCGGTATTGGATTTAGCAGCGCATGATGTAAAACTAAGCCCATCACCACAAAGTTTATTTTCTTAACCTTCTGTTGGCTGCTTTAAGTTGCAAATTCACAAAACAAACCAATTAGTTTGCAAAAAAAGTGTTTATTGCTTAGCAGCATGCTTGCAGCGCTACGCCTGTGCAGTGGCGTTTTGCTTACTACTTCGCAGCATGAGATCAATGGTACCTCACTTGAAAATCAAACAACAAAAAAAAAGGGATGAGAGGGAACGTTTTAGAAGAAAAGTAGTTCATGTAAATTGCGGTAACGGCGATTGATTGACACCTGCATAAAAGTTTGCTGTTTCACACGCACTTGCATCTAGAGCGAGGAAAATTTTACGTCAGCTAGAAAGGAATCAAACGAGGAAGCAATAAGCAGGAAGCCCCTCCCTAGAGGTGACTCCTGGCTTAATAGTATGGCACAAAAGCACCTCGCATGAGACAAACCAGTACCACGCTTCGTGGTAAGGCGCGAAAGATAACCTTCACTTCTACAGATAATTGCGCAATAACTACACAAAGGCGCAGAAGACACGGACGAGCACAAGTTCATGTCCTATGAAACCATGTGTATTTTGTGCGAAACCATCTTTTCATGGCAAACATCAACCTACTTGCCCAGCAGAAAGTTTTACTCCATTTATTTTAACTACTGAAGCCTCAGATGTGACAAGTAATTCAGCTGTGTAAGTTTGTAACACTTATGTTGGAAGGAAATACACATTACTGTTTCACTTGTGTGCCACCGACAGTGACCGCTCTCAAAAGAAGGAAAGGGGCTCAGCCTTCGTGGACTTTCGATAATGCAGGGGGTGGAGTGGCCCTCTTACCCACCATTTACAGTGCTCAACTCGGCTGTCTACAACGACGGAGCGTCGTGCGCGAAACTGCATGAGCGACATCTGCAGTAGCAAATACGCCACATCTGAGCATGCGCGGCGCCAGTGAAGTGTCTGCGTCGCAATACTGATCCCTGCTTATCGCCGCGCATGCAAGAACCACTTTGGCCGTCGAAAGTACTCTGAGAGATTTTTCGAAAAAAAAAAGACGAAGAAAAACCGTTGTCGCTGTGGTAAGATATCACGAAGCGAGAATATTTCTTTTTTGTTGTTGTTTATTTCGATTCTGTAATGTAGGCAGCGCTGCGACGACCAAAGGAAGCCATCGCGGCCGCGGAGATAAAGAAGGGTGGAAACAGCAGGGCACGCACATCATTGGCGCCGCGCATGCTCAGATGTGGCGTGTTTGCGACAGCAGATGTCGCTGGTGTTGTTCCGCGTGCGACGCTCCGTCGTTATAGACAGCTGAGGTGAGCGCTGTACACTGACTTACTTGTTTATGAAACCAAATGCACGTGCGCTTGGCCTCCGCTTAGCGGCGGCTTTCTACAACACCAGCGACGAACAGAACGACGAACAGAAAGCACGTTCGTTCACTTACGGCATGATCTATTGCCAAAAAAGATGACGAGTCGTGGCTTGCAGACAAGCACTGCTAGAAAACGTTTGCTCACCACTCGCGCCACGATTGATGTTGGGCGATGCCTGCAGCTTGCGTCAGGCTCGCGCACCGCGTTCGAAATGTTGGCAACAAATGACGCACTACAGGCCTCACCCTTTGCTTGAGCGGCCAGGGAGTCTAGCCGAGCAACGCTTTTTTACCGGCCATGACTCGTCATATTATCATAAACTGTCACATTCGATTTCGTTGTCAGCTAAATACTGAACATTCGTGCAGTGTATGTTCATAGAATCTCCGAGCTCCTTTATTCTCAATATGCCGCCGACACTTCAATGTTTCTGTCCATTTATACAAACAAGTGCCCTAAGTACCACTGCAAACATTTTGCATACATTACGCAGAAGAGCACAACAAACTATAGACAACATTTCCTAAACTGGCAAATTTCAAAACTCCTAAAGACCCACAAAGATTTTATATCCTCTACCACTACACATCACACGCTAGAAGCATTCTGTAAGCAAGCCCAAAAAATATTTCCTTTACTGTGACGCTCGTGAACTTTCATTAATACAATTTTTGAATGTTTATAGCTTCACTTAGTTAAATATTATGTATTTATTTATTCATTCTTTGTTGTTTGGGCATTTCAATGGTTCTGTTGTCGATATGCCTGTCTGTTTTATTACCATTCATGCTGTACACTCTAAGGCAAAATTACCCGAAAAGTGAGTAACGGAGCCCCATAGGCGCGCGCGATGAACGGATAGACCATTGAGAAGCAACCACAAAGGGAAGCGTGCCGCGTGTGAATCCATTAGTCTCCAATCGCGCTCCAAAGAGATGAACCGCCCGAGGAATGCAGGCAGTGCGAAAAGCGTTGCCAAGGTCACAGGCCGTCCTCCTCCTCTCCTGGCTCAGTCTTCCCCGTATTTTTTCTGGCGACGGTTCGCCTTGCGTCACGCTCGGAGTGCTAGACCACAGCCGCCTGGATTCGACGATGGAGGAATTACGACATGGTGTTTATGTGTACGCTTGGATGAGCGTGGGCAGCTGTTTTTACGTTTCGGTGCACCCATGAAGTTTGGAGCAAGTCTCGACACGTCACCACGCCGCGCTGTATATCTCTGGCTTCAAGATAGTCACGACCAACACACGACAGCAACAGTTGGGAAGGGCAATATCAAAGTCAAAGGCAAGTAGGTTATCATTCTTTATTCTACTCAACTTGTCGCGTGTGCGATACCGATCGCGCTTGCCGGCAACGGGCTCGGTCATGCTGTATATCGCACGCACGAAATGCATCGCGAAGGTCAGCTTCGGCGTCTGCAGTACGCCTGTGCTTTGCGACCACCTGGAAATTGGCCGCCATTGCCGTCGACCTCCCGTACACTCTCGCATCGAGTGCTCGCCTGTCTTCGCCGCCGCAATGAGCCCCGGGCTGACGATATTAGGCTGAGACCTCGTCGCTGTGTTGGGAGTCGTCGAAAACACGTTGCGGGTTCTCGTAAAGAGCTTGGTTGTAGTATGTAGCGCGCTGTAAGTGCACCAGCACGGGCTGGCGCGGCTTTTACTTGCGTCGGAACTCACTGAAAATTGGTCGCCATTACAGTTGGCTTTCCCGTCAGTCGGTTACAACCATCTTGGCGCCGTCCGTCGGTCGCAGCGGCGGACTCACGCTTGCGCGCTGCACTCGCTCGAGTTTGTGGAAAAGGGCCGCATTACCGTCGATTTCTTCGGCGCTAGCTCCAAACCAGCTC